TTCTAAGCAATGGCACGAGAAGTTTGACAACGCTATTTTGTGAAATGGGTTTAGAATCAATGAGTGTGACAAGTGCATATATGTCAAAGACACTGACAAAGGTTATGTCATTTTGTGTCTATATGTTGATGACACACTTATTATTGGCAGTAATGATGAAATGATTAGATCTACTAAGAGATCATTAAACACTAACTTTGACATGAAAGATATTGGCCTTGTAGATGTAATTATGGGTACTAAGATTACCATCTAGCGGTATTGTATTTTCACAATCTTATTATGTTAAGAAGATAGTTGAGAAATTTGGTAAATTAGATACGAGTGTGTCTAGGACACTGGTAGACTTGAGTCTACACTTGACCAAGAATAATGATGAGAGTTTTTCTTAGCTAGAATATTCTCGAGTCATTGGGAGTTTGATGTATCAGATGAGTTGTACAAGGCTGAATATAGCCTACTCTTTTAGTAAGCTTAGTAGATACACGAGTAATCCTAATACTATTCATTGAAAGGGCATTATACGGGTGTTGGGTTATCTATGCTACACTTGATATTATAGGCTGCATTGTACCAGATACCTAGCGGTACTAGAAGGGTATAGTGACGTTAATTGGATATCTGATATAAAGGATTCTAAATCCACTAGTGGTTATGTGTTTACCTTTGGAGGGGTAGCCGTGTCTTGGAAGTCTTCCAAGCAAACGTGTATATCGAGATCAACAATGGAATCTAAGTTTATTGCTTTAAATAAAGCAGCTGAAGAAGCTGAATGGCTTCGCCAATTCGTTGAAGATATTCCACGTTGATCGAACCCTGTGCCAGCTATCTGTATTCATTGTGATAGCTAATCGGTAATTAGTCGGGCACAGAGTAATATGTATAATTGAAAGTCTAGACATATCCATTATAGACATAATTCAATATGACAACTACTCTCTAATGGAGTTGTCTCTCTAGACTATGTAAAGTCTAAGGACAACATTGCGGATCCACTAACTATATAGTTAACTCGAGAGTTAGTAGAAATGTTGTCAAGAGGAATGGGGTTAAGGCCTTCAGTTAATGTTACCGGAATGAAAAACCCAACCTAGTTGACTGGAGATCCTAAGATCTAAGTTCAAAGAGATAATCCAATTGCGTGTAACGGGTGAGTCACTGAAGAGGTAAATCCTCTTGCCCATTCATTTATTCAGTGATACCCTGTGAAGGTGGTAGGATAAGCAAATGCTTTTAATGACCTAAGTGATGTGATAAGTCAATCGTGATATAGTGAAATACCTTATGTAGGTCATTTACATGAGGGCGAAGTGGGGTCGTTTCTTTAAGAATTGACAAGGTCGAATTCTTTAAAAACATTCACTGAACTAGGCTAGTGTTCCAAGGCCATGCCGGACACACCAGTGAGAACAAGAACAATGGTTGGACTAAGTCCTGTGCGAGGTCTATTGTCTCAATTTACGCAAATGGCAAAACAGTTCAAGATCACGTTCACTAGTCAGCTAATAAATCCGATAGGCTTTTACTACGAAAGGTTCAAGGCTAACAGGTACCTTTTCTAATGCAGGATTAGTCTGTGTGCTCTCTCTCCGAGTCTTTGTTGTTAAACGTTGTCCGTTTTCTTTATTTGGTCAGTTTTTATTCATGTGGGGAATTGTTGGAAAAAATGATTTTATGGCGACTTTAGTGTGAAATTAAAGTAGGTCCCAACCATCGATTGAGGTAGGATCAAATGAGTTTAGATTTTTTATAATAAGATCTTTACACCACAAAAAGAATGACTAAAAAACATTAAGAATTGAATAAGAAATTTCCTCATAAAGTTGGTCTCATGAATGAGGTATTGGGAATAGTATATAACTACCTATCCCACATTGATTGTAGAGAAAAGTATTGATGGGTATTTAATTCCAAGTTTTGGATAAGGACATGAGCCCTTTGGGGCATCCAAATTTTTCGAAGGAAGAGAGTCATGGATGCTTCAAGGATGGGCTTGGACCAAAACTATGGTCCAAGTTGGTTATGCAAAAATGGCCACATGCAAGTGTTGTCAGCCCGCCCGCCTCGGACTGGACTGGGACTGGGTCCTAGTCCATGAGTCTTGGATCTTGGATCTTGGGACTTAGGACTTGGGACTTGGGCTTGAGCCTCGGCTTGGGTTTGGGTTTGAGCTTGAGGCTTGAGGCTTGCTAGAATGGATTAGGTTTAGGTTGGGCCGGATTGGTAGTCCACCAACCTAATCTTTTTAGGCTAAGTCTGTTTGTTGGCTGCAGATATATACACAAGTGTATATAGAGTGTATAACTCATGCACTAATTGTCCTATCAGTTTTGCTACATTAGTTGAGCAGTTTTGCAGAAATTGAATTCTGCATTGGTTGCAGAAAGGCTCATTCTCTCTCCTCCATTGTGTATAAAAGGAGACTATCCTCTTTGGTTGGAGTACAAAAATTCTTTTGCTCTCATATTATAGCAAGTCTGCTCCTATAATATTATTCTTCCTATGTGAGAGAGTGTTGCCGTTGTCAGTTCGCCAGAGTTAAACAAAAGGCGCTTCTGCTTTAGCGGATCTAAACCGTCGTATCTTGGGAGACAGACATCGACATACCTCCAATACTCACGGTGAGATAGAAAATCTGTTTTAAGGAAACTTCTGCTTTAGCGGATCTAAACCGTCGTATCTTGAGAGACAGATACTGACATATCTCCAACACTCATGGTGAGACGGTAAATCTGTTTTAAGGAGATTGTGGTATCATACAGGCTTCGGTTTACTTTCTTTTACCATTTTATTTTGTTGAATATTTCTGTTCATCGAATTGTATGATTTAGTCCCATGATTTCTTATTCTATAAATCAATTTAATTAAATAAGAATCTATTTATATTATTTAAAATAGGAAAATGTTTGAGGGCCACAATTTTTGTGGTCACAATGGCTCAAACTGCCAAAACGACGTCGTTTTGGCATGTTTTGCACCCAAAACGAAGTCGTTTTGGTAGTTTTGAGCCATTGTGGCCACAAAAATTGTGGCCCTCTAGCATTGTTGTTTAAAATACACAATTTGTACAACAAATGTAACTACTCTTTAAACAATCTTTAAAAAATTAACAAAGAAAGAGGCCAGAATTCATGAAAAGGATATCTATAAAGATTGGACATCGGTCTAAATCAACAACAATTGATTTTAAAAAAAAAAGAAGCTCTTGCATTAGCATCAAGGCATCACATAAACTGGTTGTAGTTAGGATTACTCGTAAATTCAACTTCTTCATGATTCATCCTGGCTAGTGATTACGAATTTTGAACATCTGTATTAAAAAATTTCTTAATTAGCAATATCGTGAAAATTAATACATGCATTTTAACTAGATCCATGAGTCATGGACCATAAAATATGTTTCTTCACATTCTGCTGCTCGAGATGCAAGTTTTACCAAATCAAAGCATAACATTCTATATTGAATTGTAACTTTGACGTGTTGGTTAATTTTCATTTCGCTCTTTATATAAGCTCCTTGGTACAATTCATATTGAGCTTGAAATTCTTCAAATAATTTTGACGTGTAGACTTCCCCAACCTGTGTCAACATTGGTGTGTTCATCTTCTTGCAAGGCAATTTTTGCCTTAAATTGTACACTGCAGCCAATTCATTGTAGTGCTTATTGTCAACCTCCCTTTCAAAATGTTCAAAAAATTGTGCTAAGTCAAGGTCTGATTTCAAGTAATGCCTTGTATCAGAATATTTAAACTCTCACCTAGCTGTGTGGTTTTACTTCCAGCACAAAATGTCTTTTTGACATAAGGTTTGCCCTATTTCTCTCTTACCTGAAAAATAAATTCCAGGCATTTGTTACCTTGAAGATCATACTTAGAAAGCATGGCATTCCAGACAGATAGAAATTCATCCTCATCCTCAATATCATCAATAAATGCACGAAGATCTTTTGTGAACTCACACCCTTGTTTGAATAAATACCTCAAATGTTTCATAGCATTCTGTTGCATTTGCCACGTGCAAATTCGATGATATGTTTCTGGCATCACCAATGGGATAGCCTTTGCTATAGCTGGATCTTGATCAGTAAAGGTGGTTTTAGGCTTTTTTCCTGACATAGTTGTAAATAAGGTGTCAAACAACCATTGGAAGGAAGCAACAATTTTATCATACAAAAGTGCAGTACCAAATATAACCATCTCCCTGTGATGATTAAAGCTAGTAAAAATTGCCAATGGTTGTGTTAGAAAAAATCTGGTTTGGGTTAAATCGACAGAGGAGATTCAATAGAATAACTAAAATTTCACAAACAACAACAGATCAAACAATTGTGATTGGTATCCTATGCCTTGACAGTTTCAAGGACTTCTTTGGAGGTTGTGACGCGAAGAAACAAGTGTGAATGAACTGAAATTTGATTGAAGAAAAAGTAAACTAGCCACTTAATTACAATAATTAAATTACAAGTTCAATGTACATAACAATCAACAGAGGAAAACTTGGCCATAGAGACTTAATTACAAACAAAATACTCCTAAGTACAAAAGCTACTGCTATCTAAGTTAAGTTACTCCTAACTCTACATGGATTGTGAATTTTATTGAAGATCTTTTCTCTTTTGAATTTCCAGTCTTTATGCTACTGACCCTGCTACTTGCTTGTTGACATGTGTCCCACCATTGAGCAAATTGCCTCCATTTCTTGCATAACTACCCATGATCTCCATAACTACTGTTAATTGTTTCTCTGCTACAACCTCCTCTTTCTTTTGCAAATGAACCGTGTGCCCTCCATCACTTACATGCCTAACTTCATGGCTTGACACCTGGGCCATGTTTGGCCACATCCCACTGCACTATCAGATGAATTGACAGAGAAAACTGCGCCTGCCACATCTGCTCTTTTGACTGTTTCGCCCTTGTCACATGCTCTGCATTTTGGTACTCTCATCCCACTACAAATTCGTAGTCTTTACCCCTGGCTTTCACTAGATTAGCTCTTTTTATTTTGTTACGTATGTTCGATAGAGAAAATAAATTTTAGTGCCAACAGGTTGGTATTCTTTATCAGTTCTGTAGGTCATATCAAAGCTTAGAACATCACCAAAGTGGCTATAATCAATAATCATCTGTGCATCTGCCCAAAACATATTACTGATTTGCTCTTCAGCATCTAATTGCACTGCATAGTAAAAGGAGGGATTTTCCAAGGATAGATTTTCGAAATGCCATAATATAGCCCATACTTCTTCTCCATATTGCAAGTCCCTTTGTCGTTTGCTTTGAAGATAATTTTTATGGTCTTGTTTAGTATAATCGAGATAATCCCTCTCATCTGCTTGTGTACCTATAAACTCATAAGAAGATTTCAATTTGATTCCAAAATCATCAGCCAGATTAACTTCATAAGCCTGAGCTGTAGATATATGTCATTGTAATCGCATCATGTGAGCACATTCTTCAATATAAAGATCATGGTTGTGTGATGCATCAAAACTATAAAATCACAAATTTAGACTTTTCTCTATCAAGTCTAATGCTCATATGTGCATTACAACCTATCCTTTCTTTTTGCTCGAGGGATTCTTGTTTTATAATCTCTTCAGGTGATCGAAAACCTTCTTTACAGCAAGCAAATTTTCTAGAGGTTAGCTCACTAGTTTTCTTGCTTTTATTACAAATTTTTTTCCAAACACTAAAACCCATAATGCAACCATACTTGTTGTAAAATACAAATGCATCACCTTTTGAATTAAACTCTAAACCTACATGCAATTCACCGTCAACTGAATCATTGTGATTTTTTGCACACCCATTCAAGTTTGGACATTCTCCAAATTCTGTTGCAAGCTTGCAGCCATCCTTCAAAAAAAAAAAAAAAAAAAAAAAAAAAAAGACAAAAACAAAAACATAAAAATTGTATTGATTCAATTAAATGAATCTATTTTTTTTAAATATCTTCTGCGTAAAATTTGAGAAATTGTTCAATATTTTTGGAGTTATCCTTCATTCCATTTGCAAGTTTTGGTTCCTAAAACTCAAACACAAAAGTCATAGGTCACATGATTTGGTAATAACTATTACTTGGAAATATTACTTAAATTTATTCTATGAGTATTGAATAATTTCTCTTAAAAACTTTTAAATCAAATAAAAACAAAGAAAAATATATAATATAAGAAGAAAAAAAAAGTTAAAATATTTATATTCTCAATACACATTTCATATATCTCAAAATAATTGCATATGCTTTTATGTTTTTCAATACATTTTTACATACTTTATCATTAATAATCGCTCTAAAATTATTTTTAATATTTTCTATCTTTAACGGAGAACAGAGGAAGGCATTGTTAGTGAGAAAATTGGAGATTCAAAACGCATTGTTTAGAGGCAATATTAAATTAGTTGATTTACTGTGATATGAGCCGTTGAAATTATTGACGCTAACGTGTCGCACTATTAGGAAAAATTGGAAGATACTCCAAATTTGAGGAAATTGGAGAAAAGTTGAACTCATCTGATTCATATAAGAAATCAACTTTATCGAACAACTATGAATAAGAAAACAAATTACATTTTATTTTATAAAATGAATGTTTTAAGTTTAAAATTCCATTTGCTGTTCATTTTATAAAATAAGATGTGGTTTGTTCATGTGTTTATTGATATCGATAAAATTAATTTTTGACATAGATGACCTTTATTACGGGACCTATATAGCAGATGGTTCAGATCACCGATGTGAGTTAAAATTGGTATCCACAAGAAAGGTATGAATAGGTATGGAGGGAGCTCATCCTAGATGGAAGCAAAGGGATTTGAGTGGCGGTGAAATATAATGGAAGTTTTGACTGAATTTTGTGAAATTTTTGGGCAGAAAATAAATTTTCAAAAATCCAAGATATTTATTTCTCCCAATATCCCTAGAAGGGAAGCACTCCCCCTTAGTTATCATTGTGGTTTTTCCCTTACCAATGACTTGGGTTAGTATCTTGGCACCTCTTTGCTTCATGGCAGAATTAACAAAAATCATGTAGATAACATCATTGAAAAAATGACTAATAGGTTATCTGGGTGGAAGGCCAATAACCTGTCCCTTGCAGGTAGACTCACCCTTGTGAATTCTGTTACTTCTGCCATACCCAATCATCTCATGCAAACTATGGAATTACCTAGACATATTTGTGATAAAATTGACAGCTTAAATAGGAATTTCCTTTGGGGTAGCACTGATTCTGTCAAAAAAGTTCACTTTATTAACTGGAACTAAGTTTGCAAAAGTAAAAGGAATGGTGGGCTGGGCATTAGGAAAACAAGGGACCAAAATTCTGCTCTTATCTCCAAACTTGGGTGGAAAATTACTGGCAAGGCTGATAATCTCTGTTGCACAATTCTTAAATCTAAATACCTTAAGCACCACTCCATCTTCAATTGGCCTCTCAAGAGAAAAGCTTCCCACACTTGGAAGAGCATAATTAACAACAAAGAGGTTTTGAAGGATAACATCAAATGGAATGTGGGGAATGGTGAGAATATCTCACTTTGGACTGATTGGTGGTGTGGCACAGCACCATTGTGCAGTAATAACCAGGGCCCTCACATTGATTGCACTGCAACTATTAGCTCCATTTTAGATGAAGGCCAATGGAACTTGACCTCAATCCAAAATCTGATTTCCCAAGAAGAAAAAGATAACATTCGACAAATCTACAGGCCTAGATTTGTGACTTTCATGGACACTCCTACCTGGCAAGGCACCACCAATGGCAATTTTATTGCTTTTGCAGCCTACAATTCCATTTCCCAATAGGATGAGAATGGCTTGGTCTGGCAATGGGTATGGAAAATTAAGGCCCCTCAGAGACTAAGAAGATTTATTTGGTTGACCATGCATGAAAGATTGCTTACTAACCAGATGAGGTTCAAAAGGAAGCTTTCAGATTCAGATACCTGTTCTAGATGTCAAACTGCTAGAGAGGACATGAGCCATTTACTAAGAGGCTGTCCCAAAGCTAAAATAATCTGGGTCACTTTGAAAAACCTCCCTTGGTGGCAGGCAGGAGATAGGGTACCTCTATCTGAATGGATCAGCTCTAACATGAAAAGTAAGCATAAGGTGGATGACATCCAACGGGCAACCATATTCTTATCTGCTATTTGGAATATACAGAAAGATAGGAACAGAGAAGTGTTTGAAAATCAACCTCAACTTGCAACCATTAGCACAGCCAAAATTCTCCAGTAGGCTCAAGAAATTCAGAAAACTTTTTTAAACAAATTATTTAGCACCACGACTCACTGTTTGGCTTGCTCCTCTTGCAGGGACATTGAAGTTGAATACTGATGGAAGCTCTAAAGGAGATCCAGGTCAATCTGGGTATGGTGGTCTATTGTGAGATGAAGTAGGCACTTGGCTGTGGGGTTATCATGGCTACCTGGGAAATTGCACGAGCTTAGAAGCTGAACTTTGGGAACTCTACCGAGGACTCACCATCATTATCCAGAAAGGAATGGCAAATATAGAGCTTGAGACAGATTCCCAGCTCGCAATACAGCTGATTAAAGATGGTGCTGACAGCTCTTGCCCGCATAGAGCTTTGATTAAGGATGCCAACTTCCTCCTGAGAAGATGTAACTGTAATATTTCCTATATTCCAAGAGAAGCTAAGCAATGTGCTGATGCTCTTGCCAATATTGGAGTTAGCCAAATTGAGCATTTTATCTTCTTAGATGAGCCACCCAGTGCTTTCCTTTCTGTCCTAGTTGCAGACATAGTGGCTGCTAGCTCTATGAGGGTCTAAGTAACCTTTTGCTCAAATGCTTGTATTAAACTCTTTACTTTATTAGCCTTTTATTTGAATAAAAAAAAAGAAGGATAATATTCTTTCCATATTTGATATTGGAGGATAATTATAATTTTGTCCTTTTCTACTAACTAAAACTTGACCAAAAGAAAAAAAAAAAGAAAAAAAAATTGTAGTGTGAGATTATGGGTTCAACTCCTAAACTGATGATATCCTTCGTTGTTTTCCCTTTCCTACTAACATCTTACAACACTCATGTATAACAATGGGGGGGGGGGGGTGTGAAAGAAAAAAAGAGAAAGATTTATTTTAAATAAATTTCTAGGGTGGAATTATAATTTACTCATTTTTTCTTACATACAAAGGATTATTTTGAGAACTAGCTATTTTAATTGATTTTTTTAATTTTTTATGAAAAACGTGCAAAAGGTAAAGAGAAGAGTTAATTTTTTTCTAGTGCTCTTTTTTTTTTTTTAAATTTTTTTTTTTGGGCTACAATAGCCTATAAGATGTGTGTAGACACCCCATTTTTAACTAACCTTGAGACTTGGGCACTCCTTTTTGAGTTATTGACTAGGGGTGTGTGTGGTGTGGTTCAGGCAGTTTGAGAGTAAAATTACAAATCGAATGGCGGATTGGCGGATTAGTGAATTGACAAATTGCGGTTTGGGCAGATTAGAGAATATTCTAACTTATTATCATATATTTGCATATATAAAACACTAATTTGTAAAATATTTTTTAGATATATAACACAAAGTAATTTTACATAATATGTTTCATATATATAACCACTAATTTGTAATAAATTTCATATCTTAAATAATAAATTTAATATCTTAACTCTCTCTCACACTCATTTTTACATTGATATTTCATTAGATGTTAAAAAATATATATGTATTAACTATAGCAGAGCGGAGCGGTTCGGTTGGTAGATTATAAATTTTAAAGTTTAAACCGCGGTTAGCGGTTAGAGTGGTGCAGATTAATGCGGATCGGTGCGGTTTTAGCGGATTGGGCAGTATTTTGCACAGCCCTGTTCCTAATGATGAAGACGAGATGTGTTAATCTTACAAGTTTAATGGCAAGGAGCCTAAGAATCAAGCTTTAAACTATCCAAAGACTTGTTTTGGACAGAATGTTTTTTGACCAAAATGGAAACCTCTTTTAAAACAAGTTTAATGGCAAGAAGCCTAAGAATCAAGCTTTAAACTATCCAAAGACTTGTTTTGGACAAAATGGTTTTTGACCAAAATGGAAACCTCTTTTAAAACAAGTTTTAGTGGTGCGATTCTAGACATTACTGCAATGTTCTGAGGCTCAAATTTTCAAAGTTAAAAGCGTTGTATTCTTTCAAACAAACTGACCAAAGAATATAGCGGGAATAAATAGAAGGGATGAAATTCTCTGAAATATCTTTTTTGCCTTTCAATTTAGGCTAACCTTCTTTTGTTGATCTAACGGTATGCCTACTGACTGGCCAGACACCATGTGATGGTCGGCTACAAAAGCACTCTGCCGATCACCAAGAAGTACGACAAACTGAATGTTCCGGGTACAAAGCATTTAGGGAATTGCAGTTTGTTTTTCTTACTTACCACAAATATCTTCGATATTTAGACCTTGAGCTCTACATATAGAGCTTGGTAGCTCATTTCAAAGGGTTGAAAAACTTGCCCAAGGCCTATACAAGCTTGGGAACCTCTCATTTTTCTCCTCTTGCTTCCTACTTACACCTTCACAGTTTAACATTAAACACTTCATTAAAGCTTAGCCATAAGCTATGGACAAAGGACTTTGGACATGAAATAACATATCTAAAGGCTCTTGAGGGAACTACAAAGGGAGTTTGTGAACAAAGAGGCTCATCCTCTTTATGAGGTGAATCCTTTGCATTCTTGATCATTTTCTTCCTACTTTTTCTTGAGTTCTAGCTTCATTTCAATTATGTAATTGTTGTAAGAACTCATGGATGTGGAGGGAGTAGCCTTAGTTACCCATGCATTGAGTTGATGGCATTTTTTTTTTCCTTCCCTCGTTTTTCTTGCTTTCCTTAGCTTTGGATTCATAGTTATTATATATTTAGGACCTTTGTGGATGTGATTGGGAGTACTTATAGCCATCCATTCACAAGTTCAATAAGTAAAGTATGTTTTTCTTATTATTGCACTTCTCCTCTTCACTTATTGTATCTCTCAAGTGTGTTAATCTATGTATTTCAACTCCTTACTCAATAACAATGAGTGTTAGGGGTTATTCCATGGGATTGCTTGGGTGATCCATGGGATTTGATGTTGAGAAGTGTCTTGTCCTTTTCATTAAGTATTTTGGAAGTAAAACAAGAGATTTTGGGTCAAAGAAAGTTGAAACCTCCCTTCTCAATTATTTGTGAATATAAAAAGGGGTGTAACTATCCCAGTTTTATGACTAGATGAGGAGTTTCCAATGAGTTTGATGAATCCCTTGTTTTAATAAGCAAGGCTTCTGCCAAAAAATGATTTGTATTAATCTACACTCTCTGGTTAATAACATGGATTTGGGTATTGAGTTGCCCTTATTCACAAAGAAAAGATGTAGGTTCATATTCATTTCTTGGGTTTGAATTTGTTCTTGATTTTGATCCATTTAATTTGTTTCTTTAGCAAAATATTTGTTGTATATATCTGTTTGTATCATTGTTAAGGGTTATGGCCCATCCACCTCTTCCCCAAGTGATCCCTATTAACAGAAGATGTAAAAGGTATGAGCAATCCCCAAAAAGTGTCCTTTTAGCATCTGTCCTAGAATTTTGCATTGATCTAACCCCTAGCTGGAGGAGAAATTCGGCCGGCCACTTCCTAGTTCGGCCGGCTCATCTTGTGTTTGGCTGACCACCTCCTTCCAAGAACAGAGTAAATAATTTATAGGGAATTCTCTCCTGGATGGTTCTGAAAATCCTGATTCTTTTATTCATTATGATTTGTTAGATTCAGTAGTAGTTTGGTTGAATTAATTCATTATTGTAATAATCTCTCTCTCCCTTCATTTCTTATTCGAATTGTTATAATAATCTTCTAACCCCCCGTCTTTCTAACTCTTTTATTTACATGTTTTCGGTATTACATCATGTTTTCTTTATCATGCCTGTATATTGCATCTATTTTTCAAGCATTCAGGTCTGGTTCATCTGCATTTGTGGAATTTACTATCTTCAAAGATGAATACGTGTATAACCCCATGTCTTGAGATGATACTCATGTCACGTCTTGGTATCCGGACTCCTAGGTGCATATTATGTATGTATTGCATTAGTAGTTTGTATATAGGGTCATGCATATTTGTATATATATATATATCTGTATGTGTCTTCGGACTCGCCTTGGAGTACTAGGTGAGGATTTTGAGCTTTAGCATATTGCATGTGCATGTTCCTTATCATATCTGTTGCTGCATCATGAGGCTAAGTGCTTAAGTGAGATATCTGTTTGAATACCGGTAGATGAAGGTTGTGCTGTTTATTTTGGAATGTAGATAATTCTTATACTGTGGATTTTGTTCAAGAAAAGCCTTTTCAAAATGCATGAAATCAAATTATAACCAAAATTAATGGCACAATCTATATTTGCATGCCTCAAATAGTAATGGTAGCAATATTAATAACTGGAACATACATATACATTGATTATAAAAGCCACATCATGACTTAGTAGAGGCCGATATTTCAATCAGATGAGTGGGGTGCTCAATTAATGACCTTCCCCTCTCATACTTAAATTCCCGAGCCGAGACATTTTTGTTATGATTGACGGTGACCTTTGGCACAAGTCACAGGTTTCATAATTTTTCCAAAAGATGGAGTGGCGATTCTGAAATCTGGTGATGTAGTCCATTTCTAGAAATCTTTTGTAATAAAAATAGATTTTTTTTATAAAAGTTGCCAGATTTGGACCTCATTTTCTGTTTCACATTGCACTGAGGATATTAGATCAGAGATTGGGAGTCTGAATTGTCAGGCGCGCTTGGTAACCCCAAAAGGCATCCCACAATGTGTTAAATCAAATTCTTTTGGTACACACTGTAGACACCTCATTTTGACCGCCCTTACGATTTGGGTGCCTCACTCTAGGTGCCCGATGATGAAAATCGAAACACGTAAGACTTCAATATCTCCAGCAAAAGCCATATCTAAAAGTGGATTCCAACC